GTTACATGATAAGCAGCAACTAAGCAGCCTTTTTCTCTAAGAACTCGCCGTCTGACCTCGTGGCAACAGGAGGCCAGCCCCTCTCACTGGCGCCCTTTATAGCTTTGCTTTCTGTTCACCACTGAAGGGAGGACGGGGGCGGGGGAAGCTAAGAGCCTGTTTTCTAAAATACAGAATACGGTCATGCTCTCTTTCGAACGGGCTTGCGTGGGCACTGAGGAGGGCCAGAGGAGGCAAGGAGGGGGCAGCGAGGACTAGGTTTGTGGATTTTTTTCTGCACACTGGAAATTCCCAGGCCAAAAAGGTACCGACCCGAGTCCCGGACATTCCCCTGGATGGCCGGCTCCAAGACCAGGACTGGAACCGCGGGGAGGAATCAGAGGCAACATCTACAAACAAAACTTTTTCCTTAAAGACGTCCTTTTAAAATGTCCTAGTGAATCTCCTGCTGGGCATTAGAGTTGCCTTCTCACTAGATTCACCTCATTTTATTTCGCTTTTTCTGTGTGGCCCCTAAATGTGGGGGTGCAGTGGGCGGGTGAAGTTACCTTTTACAATACAATCAAAAAGTAATATAGCTATCATGTGCCTTCATTGACTAATTAACGAACAAGGCATCCGTGACATAAACAAAGCAATGGTCCTGTAACATGAAGATCACTTTATTTTCAAGGGGGAAGGGGAATGGGAATGGAGTGGATTTAACAGCAAATGAACCATTGCACAACACTGAAAGGATTTCTGCTATGACTTTTAGTTTCACTTCCTTTCCATTCAGAACACTTGATGCTAATCTCAGTACTTTTTTTTTTTTTTTTTTTTAAGTTATATTCCCTAGGCAGTGTTACAATCCAGTTAAAATGGACATTAGAGTTACATATCATTAGGCTCTTAAAACTCAAAGAGGCCTCATGGCCTCTCATTTAACCAGAATATTAAAAAGGAAAATATATGTACACGCATATAAATATATTTAAGTTCACCCTTTATGTTAATTTATTTATTTATTTTTGAGACACAGTTTCCCTCGTTTGCCCGGGCTGGAGTGCAATAGCGCAATCTCGGCTGACTGCAAACTCCACCTGTCAGGTTCAAGTGATTCTCCTGCCTCAGCCTCCTGAGTAGCTGGGATTACAGGCAGGCGCCACCACACCCAGCTAATCTTGTATTTTTAGTGGAGACGGGTTTTCACCATGTTGGTCAAGCTGGTCTCAACCTCCTGACCTCAGGTGATCCACCCACCTCGGCCTCCCAAAGTGCTGGGATTACAGGCGTGAGCCACCACACCCAGCCCACTCTTTTTTAAAAAGTTAAAATGCAAAAGCACTTATAAGAGACAAGTTAGATTAAAGTTGGTGGAGTACAAGTTGTGCTCTCCTAGCTTCTGTGTCCTTTAAACTCCTGCCCTCAACCATCCTCTTATCTTCCACCACCTCCAGTCTCCTAGGATTCCCAGGTCCCCTTAGAACTCAGGGGCTGTGGTCTCACCTTCCAAGTGAAAAACTAACAACTTCAAAATTTTATTTATTGCACATTGAGGTATCAAGAATCCTAAGTACACTGATAATACATTGTAGACATACACCAGGTTGGAGAATGCTTAACACAAGAAAATAAATACACTTAAGGTGGAATTTCTAGCATTAGTGACTAGCTGACATTAAAAAGCTGAATTTACCCAGAACCCACAAAGATAATGCTGAGCATTTTTTTGTGAGGTTGGGAACACTTAGTTCTGTTGTTTCCCTTGGGTGTTTATTTCCCTGTACCTTTCTCAGTGATCACTATTTGAACAGGGTCCAGAAACACTAATTTCTGGCACGTAACACATGAATATGTAAAGGCTTACCATATTTATTCTTGTCAAGTACCCTGATTGACCAATCTGCAAACTTTCAGGCTGATAAATGTGAAACTGGATTGATTCAGTTATTAAACCAGTCGATCAAGTTTCAATCTGAAACTTAAGAATTATATCCAGCAAGTGTCTGTTAAGTGGTCGTAATTAAAATGATAGTTGTTCAGAATGGCAAAGTGAATGATATGGGAACATCAAAGGACTGTTTACATTCCCTAAAGATTACTTTTAGCAGGATAATTCTATAAAATGTAATTTGTGTAGAAAGGTTTTATTATGAGTTCTGTCTGTCACAAATAGCATCAAATCAATCATCTCAGTTCTGGAATACGAGATTCACTGGGTTAAATTAATACTGTCATTGCAAAATAGAAATTCATATTTTTCAACCACTGAAATTGTGTATAAACCACGGTTTTGATATTGTAAACCTAAATGTCCAACCATAACGACCAACTTACCTAATAATGAAAACTCCAGTAGCAGAACTATTAAGCAGACGTATATAACTTATGAAGACTATTTAACATAGAAAATATTTATATGTAAAAAACACAGATCCAAATTACATATTCTCTATAACTATATGGTTAAAAAACCTACAAGAAAATGTAACCCAATACTCCTGTTCATTGTGTTCAGATGACAGAATTATGGATTTTGTCTGTATATTTTTCTTCTAGATTTTATAGTTAATATTCACAACCCTGTGGCACTAGCCTAAAACAAACTTTTCAGAAGAAACTAAATTATTCCATCTATTATTCTGGGGAAGGTTTAGGTGATACTGAAATCTTTATCAAAATTTCCACACCAGAGTGAAGAAAGACAAATTAGATGTGGAATGAAAGTTGTTCGCACTGGTAAGTGAGAAGTAAATGAGAACACATGGACACATAAAGGGGAACACACACTGGGGCCTGTCGGACGGTGGGGAGGAGGAGGAGGAAGAGGATCAGAAAATCACTCATTAATACCTGGGTGATGAAATCATCTGTACAACAAACCCCCATGACATGTTTACCTATGAAACAAGCCAGCACAGGTACCCCTGAACTTAAAAGTTGTTAAAAAAAAATGTTTTTAAGAGAGATAAAAGTGACTAAGAATACCTGAAGAAGCTGTGCCACCAAATCTTTAAGAGCTATGTCACCAAATCAAAAAATAACAGAAATGAGACAACGTCCTAAGAAATCATTTGCACAATCAAGTAGCATCATTCCAAACTACTGGAGAAGCAATGCCCTCTTTCCTTTTAAAATGCTTCTGGGAAAATTACTCCTCAGCCTCCTTTATAAAATCCTTGAGGAAATGTCTGTTAAGTTATTTCATGAAAAGAAATCCTCTCAGCTGGGCACAGTGGCTCGCACCTATAATCCCAGCACTTTGGGAAGTCAAGGTGAGTGAACTGCTTGAGCCCAGGGGTTTAAGACCAGCCTGGACAACATGGCAAAACCTAGTCTCTATCAAAAAATACAAAAATTAGGTGGGCATGGTGGTGCACCCCTGTAGTCCCAGCTAGTCAGGAGGCTGAAATGGAAGGATTGCTTGAGCCCAGGAAGTCAAGGCTGCATTGAGCCATGATCATGCCACTGCACTCCAGCCTGGGCAAAAGAGCAAGACCCTGTTTCAAAAATAAATAAATAAATACCTTTCTTTACAAAAGTCTCACAAGTTTAGCTGAAAAGGGATATGGGCTGTCACACACCTTATTTCAAATCCAAACTCAAGTTCCTCATGTATAAAATGGAGCTAATATCACCTACACTACTGGATCATGAACAGAATTAAATTATTGGTAAAACCCCTAAAATAAACAAGCCATGTTTATTCCCTCATTGTCTTACCTCTTACTGTTTCTCTAAATGTGGAATACCATCAGAATCACTGAGCACTTGCCACAAAGGTTGGTTCCATAAATCCCAGAGGCATCATGATCCCGCTTTTTTGTTTGTTTAGAGACACGGTCTCGCCCTATTGCCCAGACTGGAGAACAGTGGAACAATCAAGGCTCACTACAACCTCTGCAACCTTCTGCCTTCTGGGCTCACACAGTCCTCCCACCTCAGCTTCCTAAGTAGCTGGGACTACAGGTGGGTGCCACCACACCCAGCTAGTTTTTGTGTTTTTTGTAGAGATGGGGTTTCACCATGTCACCTAGGCTGGTCTTGAACTTCCAGGCTCAAGCAATCAGTCCACCTTGGTCTTCTAAAGTGCTGGGATTACAGATGTGAGCCACCATGCCTGGCCTTAATTCTTTTATTATTTAAGAAAATTTTTTAGAGACAAGGTCTTGTTCTATTGCCCACGTTGGAGTGTAGTAGTGCAATCATAGCTCACTGCAGCCTCAAACTACTGGGCTCAATCAATCATCCTGCCTTAGCCTCCCTCGTTGCTGGGACTGTAGGCCCATGCCTGGCTAAATTATTATTTTTTGTGGAGACCAGGGTTGTTACCCAGGTTGGTCTCAAACTCCCAGCCTCAAGCAATCCTCCTGCCTGGCCTCCCAAAGTGCTGGGATTACAGGTTTAAACTACCACACCCCACCATGACTCTTAATTCTGCATTTTTGTCAGTTATTACAAGTGATCCTTAGGTAGTGTAAAGCTTAAGGGCCATTAAAATTAAGCTATTTTAATATATTTTACTACCTCATCAGACTCAGAAACAATTAAAAAACTTGAAGGTGTTCCTCAAGGATAGGAAAGTAAGATCGGGGGCCCTCTGTTTTAATTAAAAACCCAAGTTATTTGACCCATTCTTCTAAGGGTACATATTTTTCATACTTCAAGCATCTGTCTTCCTCTCTAAAGCCTCCCTAGTTTCTTCACATGTCCACTTAGGAGAGACTTAAACTAAACTACAATCTATCACAGCTCAAAAAGAAAAAAGTACTTACTAAATGAAACCAAATTAACTAAACTCATTTAAAATAATGAATAATCCTCTTATTCTTAGATAGCCAGTAGGAATAGCAGTTTCTTCAACCATGAGAGAATGGGTGTACCTTACGTCCAAATCAAGAAATAACAACAACAAAAAAAAATCAAGAAATAGCAAAATATTTTGTTAATTTCTAACTAGATTTTAACTTCTAATTTTGGTAAGTAGTTCAAAATAACAACAAGAAAAACACCTGAAATTGGTGGGAAAAACTTTCACAGCTTTATAATACAATAGCATTCATTACATAAAAGGCAATTCTTAAAACCCTCAAATTTCAGAACATAAAAATAAATTTCTGTTTACAGATTTCCCCTTCCAGTTCTAAAAGTAGTTATTCTAGAGTAAGTATTCAACACATAAAATTTAGCTGGATCAAATAAAAAACAATCACCAAATGCAAATATTAATTCCAAACACAGATTTTATATGTACTGCTTTCATGTTTCCCTTCTGCTTTTCTAGATAAAAGCAGGAAATTGTAAATATTCTCACTATAAAATTCGAACCAAGCACACTGGCCTTTTCAAGTAATTCAGAAAAGGTAGATCATCAAGAGAAACTCCTGAGACACAGCAGTCTTCAGTGCATTCACAAGAGCCTCTGGCTATAAGCTTTCTGCGATTGACCCCCAGAAGACGGACTACTCGTGCTATTCATGCAGATGCACTCAATTCCCTTTACCAGATAAGCTACAAACACTCTAGTACCATTGTCCCTTCCATCAGAACCTGTTTCAGTCTTTAGCAAAGTAATCACCCCTCCCAGGAGAAGCTAATTCAAATACACTCATTAGCATCTTTGGTTACAAGAGCAATATAGTGTATAGATGCTGTTAATGAGTTCTACCATGGCTAAGTCAAGATTGGATAAAATCCTATAGGTAGATATAAATGAAACCTGCATTTTCTAAGCTCCTTGTAAGCTATCATATAAAGTCCAGCTCTTTTTGAAATTTTATACTTATTAATGGCAGTCATCTCTCACTGGGGCCACTTTCTGTAGCTCAGGTCAATTGAGAAGGTCGTTGAATATGATTCCTCCAGTCCCTTCAAGGATAGACTAGGTCTCCAAGGGGCACACAAAGGACAAGAACATGTCCAGCTGGTTCTTCACAATAACTTCATCAGGATGCAGCTTGTGTGGTAGATAATGGGCCAGGGTCATCTCCCAGGCATCCACAAGATATACTCCAACCCCTGAGAACATCCTCCGAAGAATGGTGTCCAGCTGAAAGTTGTACCAGTCGCTGTTGAAAAGGCTCACCTCAGGTCCCAGCTCTTGGGCGTTGGCCGTCCGGATGACCACCACGGTCTTTGGGCTTCGATCGAGGAGCCGAACCACTGCTCGACGGATGTTCCTGAGCCGCCGGATATACACTTCCAAGGGGAAGGTGCTGAAGTGAGACCATACAGCTATGGCGACCACTGTGTTCTTCCCTCCCACAATGCCATTCAGCTCATTCGCCACATAACGGAGCTCACTGCTGAAGACGGTGGTGAAGCGGATGGGGGGACCATGGCAGCGGTATTTGAGCAGGATGTTGTGCTTCTGGTCCACTGCCAGGAAGGGGCCCACATTCTTAGGACTACCCAAGTTAAACTCCACTAAATCTGAAACAAGGAAAACTCAAGTTCATAAAAACATTCGCACCAAGCACATATATTTTGATTATACCTTATTAAGTGGCTTCAAATAATAAGCTTTCTTAAAAAAGTACAACGAAAAGGTACAATATAAATGTAAAGAGAATACCTATTTCACCGTTTTCTGCCCCCTTCTGTATATCAATGGGCCTTTATTCTAGCATATTTATTACTTAAATTATTCCACAAACATAACATTCATTATAAACAACACCATCAGTTACAGATTCTACATGTGTCTATGCATAAAAAACAAAACAACCCCTTTTTCTCTAATTATTAGGCCAAGAAATGTTGCTATTTATATTGATCATTCCGATTTTTTTATCTAAAGTTTTTTTTTAAACTTTTATTTTAGGTTTGGGGGTGAGTGTAAAGGTTTGTTACATAGGAAAACATGTCACATTTTATTTCATCACCCAGGTTTTCAGCCCAGTACAAAATAGTTATCTTTTCTGCTCCTCTCCTTCCTCCCACTATCCCTCTTCAAGTAGACCCAGTGTCTGCTGCTTTCTTCTGTGTATGTGTTCTTAGGTTCTTATCATTTATCTCCCACTTGTAAGTGAGAACATGTGGTGTTTTCTGTGTTAGTATGCTAAGGATAATGGCCTCCAGCTCCATCCATGTTCCCACAAAAGACATGCACAATCTCAGCAGGGTGGAGGGGGATCACCCGAGGTCAGGAGTTCAAGACCAGCCTGACCAACGTGGAGAAACCTCATCTCTACCAAAAATACAAAATTAGCTGGGCATGGTAGCACATGCCTGTAATCCCAGCTACTTGGGAGGCTGAGGCCGGAGAATTGCTTGGACCCAAGAGGCCGAGGTTTTGGTGAGCTGAGATCAAGCCATTGCACTCCAGCCTGGGCAATAAGAGCGAAACCCCATCTCAAAAAAAAAAAAAACAAAAAGATATGGCCTTTTTATGGCTGCATAGTATTCCACGGTGTATATGTACCACATTTTCTTTATCCAATCTGTCATTGATGGACATTTAGGTCGATTCCATGTCTTTGCTATTGTGAATAGTGCTGCAATGAACATTTGCATGCATGTGTCTTTATGGCAGAATGACTTCTATTTCTCTGGGTATACACCCAGTAATGGGATTGCTGGGTCGAATGGTAGTTCCGCTTTCAGCTCTTTGAGGAATCACCATATTGCCTTCCATGAGGGTTGAACTAATTTATACTCCCACCAACAGTATAAAAGTGTTCTCTTTTCTCTGCAACCTTGCCAGCATCTGGTATTTTTTGGCTTTTTAGTAGTAGCCATTCTGACTGGTGTGAGAACCACAATTTCACTGTGGTTTTGATTTGCGTTTCTCTAATGATCAGTGATACTGAGCTTTTTCTTCATTATGTCTGGTGACTGTATGCATGTCTTCTTCTGAGAAGTGTCTTTTATAATCATTTAATTTATAAAAATCAACTTGGCATTTACATTTTATTCTCCTACAGATAAATATTATTTCTTTCAAGCCAGGGGCTTTAGCTTCTGTTTTATGAGCACATATTAGTAACCAAATACTTCTTTTGGGAATTTCTGTCATTTGTAAAAACATGAATGAAATTAGAGGACATTATGCTAAGTGAAATAAGCCAGAAACAGATGTCTGTTATGTGGAACCTCATGAAATATTTGTCTTATACTGACTTATGTGTGGAACTTTAAAAAGTTGAAGTAGAGTGTAGAATAGTGGTTCCCAGGGGTTAGGTGTAGTGGGGAGAGGTTAATCAGAGTCTCAGAAGGAAAATGTTTTAGAGGTCCATTGTACAACCTGGTAACCCTAGTCAATAATAATGGACTGTATATTTCAAAATCGCTAAAAGAGGAGATTTTAAATGTTCTCACTATAAAAATTTAATTATGTGAGGTGATGGATATGTTAATTTACTTGATACAATAATTCCACAATGTACCCCATAAATATACCTACCTGTTGATTAAAACTGAAATGTTTTAAAAATAAAATTAAAGCAAGTTAAAATGTAATTCTGAAAAAATGAAAACACCTCTTTCTGCAATAGGCAAAAGAAAGAAGCAACCCTGTTTCTTTTGACTTTCAATTTTACCCCACAGATGAACAATCATGTCAATGTCTTACAGAAAAACTTCCATCTCTATCATGAGAATGATGTAGATAGCATCATGAGTTAGAATTCCCTTTTCTAAATTGTATTTCAAGGTCTAGTTGCCTGGAGACATTCTGAAGGTCCCAGGCATCAGTGGGACTCACTGTTATTCCTAAAAACAACTCTGTAATTCATCACTTAGTATGTGCCCTGTGAGGAAAGAGGATTTGTCTCATTTCCCTAAATATTCCCTTAAGTGCCTTAAGTAAATGCTAACAATCCAATTCAACTAATATTTTCTAAGTACCTACTTAGTGCCCACTACTATAGGTGCTACAAGCCAGCAATGCTCACATGGATAAGCTACAGTCCTTGCCCTCAGGGAGTTCACAGTCAATTCTGAAGTAACATCAGAATATAATTGTTCTATAGGCTGGGCATGGTGGCTCATGTCTGTAATCCCAGTACTCTGGGAGGCCAAGGCAGGCAGATCACTTGAGGTCAGGAGTTTGAGACCAGCCTGGCCAACACGGTGAAACCCAGTATCTAATAAAAACACAAAAGTTAACCAGGCATGGTGGCGGGTACCTGTAATCTCAGCTACTTGGGAGGCTGAGGAAGGAGAATCATGTGAACCTGGAAGGCAGAGGTTTTAGTGAGTCAAGATTGCACCACTGCACTCCAGCCTAAGCGACAGAGCGAGACTTCATCTCAGAAACAAACAAAAAGAATATAATTGTCATATATTCTTCTCCTGAAGGGTTAAAGTGGGTTTCACTTTTTTCTCCTTGCAGTTCCAGGCTTCTCTTCTGGATTTTCCTACCTAATAACTATTTAGCATCTAGCTCCATTTAAACTGAATAGAAAGCTCAAGCTACCACTTTCTTTTGATTAAGATCAAGCACTGACACCAGTCTTTATTTTAGCAGGTGAAGATATGTCGGTAAAGGATATGGTAGGAAGTGTGCAAAACAGTCAGTGTAATCCTTGCCATCAAAGGCATCAACAAGCTACGTCATTCGAACTTAAGCAGCAGCAACGGCAGACGCCTAGGAAGGCCCTCACTGGTCAGCGTCACATCAAACCCCGCCTAGCATCATGCCATACAAAGCATTTCCCTTCTCCTAATGTATAACTTAACTCTTTACCAAATGAAGTTCAGTTATATCTGTTTCAATTAAGAAGACAAGCAAAACAAAGTGGAATTGACTTTATACTTTTGCGGACAATACGTACTTTCCCTTTCCTTCTAAAAATTAAATTTAAAACTAAGTTGAAGCCAGGTGTGAGCCACCAGCACTTTGGGAGGTTGAGGCAGGCGAACTGCTTGAGCATGAGAACTTGAGACTAGCCTGAGCAACATGGCGAGACCTCATTTCTACAAAAAAATTAGCCGGGTAAAGTGGCTAATGCCTATGGTCCCAAATGCTTGAGAGGCTGAGGTGGGAGGATCATTTGAGCCCAGGAGGTTGAGGCTGCAGTGAGCCATGATTACACCTTTGCATTCCAGTCTGGGAGACAGAGTGAAAGCTCGTCTCAATCAATCAGTAAAACTAAGTTGACCTAATAAATAAAAGAACTGATTAAAAGAAAACTCACAGCAAACCATCATACTTTATTAAAAGCCTTATCCACACATAGCCATTTAAAACAGTTCCCAGGAAACTATTTATCAGCTCTCTAAATTGTAAGCAGTGTCTTTATTTCTACTCCTCCAAGATCCCACCTTCCTTGCCTCATCCACACCCCTTTCAGAAAGAAGAATGCCCTTGTGAAGAAGGAGTGGGCCTCCAGACATTGGGGTTTTGTTCTGAGTCTGGAGAACAGCCCCAGAGCCAAACAGAGAAATCAAGAAGCTGAGAATGCTGGAACATACCCACACTCCCTCAGGAGGAGCCAGCCCCACCTCACCAATGGTGAGGCACACCAATGGTAGACCCAAGGGATAGCACAGGGACAGCTTCGCTGCAAGAATGCATTAAAGTGGACAATAGGTCTGCTTGCTTCCTTCTACTTAAAGCTACTATAAGCTTAAAGTTGGATGAGACAGAAGTAGGGGAGAAACAACTAGAAATGTCCACCTCCATTTCACAACACAGAATATTAGAAGTGAAAGACAGCTGTGAAATGACATGGTCCAGCTGTCTCATCTCACACATGGAGAAATGAAGCCCTGAGAAGTAAATGACCTGTCTAAAGTCACATGGCTCATCAGTGGCATAAACCTCAATGAGAACCCAGTGCTTCCATGAGTACAACACAACACAGCAATTGATCAGAAACTGTCACACGTGTCTTCAGGATTTGGGTACCTCTTTAGTCCTTCAGAGAAATACATGTTTCTTCGCCTGATAACCTTTCTTCAGGCACCTGAGTGAGTCTGCTTATTTCAAAGCTAATGTGGAAAAGAGTTAGAAACAAAAAGCAAAGTACCAACCTGGAACAAACGTAGTAAGGTATTCAAACCATTGCCTGATTGTTGAGTCACCAAATAAATGCACCACTTTTCTTTGTAAGCACTCTGTAATGTTGTCAGGGTCATTAAACTGACGCATCTTAAACTTTCTGGGCCTCCACTGGTCTTTATAGTAATACCCAGAAGGAAAAGTTCCTGAGCTTTGAGATAGTTCTAGATTATTCGTCTCTGAAAAAAAAAGAAAGAAAGAAAGAAATATTTTAATATTATCCTCCAACAACAGATGAAAGACGTCCCAAGAAACAATTATGCCCATTTTTGTTAGCCTGCTGGCATGTGGGAAACATTTCCTGCTGTCAGATCTCAAATCCCAGACTTTTCTCCTGATTAAAAAAAGGTTTTCTGCAGCCATAAAAAAAAGAATGAGTTCATGTCCTTTGCAGGGACATGGATGAAGCTGGAATCCATCATTTTCAGCAAACTAACACAGGAACCAAAAACCAAACACCACATGTTCTCACTCATAAGTGAGAATTGAACAGTGAGACACACAGACACAGAGAGGGAAACATCACACACTGGGGCCAGTCAGGGCGTGGGGGACAAGGGGAGGGAGAGCATTAGGACAAGTACCTAACGCATGCAGGGCTTAAAACCTAGATAATGGCTATTAGGTGCAGCAAACCTATCAACCATGGCACACGTATACCTATGTAACAAACCTGCACGGTCTATACATATATCACAGAAGGTAAAATAAAAAATGTCTTTCAGTTTTCTTTTGTACAAAAATGGACAAATATGAAATAAGCATGAGGATACTGGTGGACAGAAAGGAAAAGGCGGACTTTCAGCATTCCCTCTGATTACATTTTTTTTATGGACTCTCACTCTTTTTTGCCCAAGCTGGAGTGCAGTGGAGCAATCTCAGCTCACTGCAACCTCCACCTCTGGGTTCAAGCAGTTCTCCTGCCTCAGCCTCCCAAGTAGATGGGATTATAGGCACGCAGTACCATGCCTGGCTAATTTTTGCATTTTTTGCAGAAACAGGGTTTCACCATGTTGGCCAGGCTGGTTTCAGACTCCAGATCTCAACTGATCTGCCCGCCTCGGCCTCCCATAGTGCTGGGATTACAGGCATGTGCCACCGTGTCCATCCTGATTACATATGTTTTTATCAAAGCCAAATAGAAAGGAAGATAAAAGCCAAGGAAATGTGTGGACATAAGCATTTATCCAGCATTATCCCACAACAGAACAGTTTCTCACCCACACACCTGTGCGGCAAGTAACAACTTAGACTGATATTTTACACAGATGGAGTAGTACTAGTTCACTGTTTTCAGCCCATTAAAAGCAAAGTTAGAATCCAAGAATCCTACCTTCAAATTTTAATTTCAATTCTAAAAAAACCACTTAATATGGTGAACAAACTAATGGCATCTAGGGATTATTCTCCATAATACAAAAGGTTCAGAAAGTCTTTATACATAATGAACAATACTAAAAATACATCACCAACGTGTACTCCTGGCTGTAACCTAGCTACACATGATAGCACAAGCAAAAGGACAACTTTCAGAGGGAGAGTCAACATCCTTCTGCCCCAACACCTCCTGCAGAAAATGCCACTGTGGAAACAACACACGTTACGTGCTTCAAAATAGGTTGTGACGGCTAATAGTTCTTGCAAGTTTACTCTGCATCAGAAACTATTCTGAGCAAACATATTATCTCATATGCTCACAGTAACTCTTTAAAGTAGGTCCCATTACTATCCCTGCCTTCCAAGCAGGTCAAGCTAAGCAACTTGACCAAGGTCCCAGAGCTGAGCTCGTAAGGAGCAAAGCCAGGAACTGGCCCAGGCAGGGAAGCCCCCCCGTGATCTTAACCACTGAGATAGAACACATCTCAAAACAAGATGTTTACAGATGTCAGCCATTTCTTTTTTTTTTCCTTCAAGGTATATATTTATTCATTTCAAACATACAATCTTCAAGAAACCATCAGTTGATATCATTTTCTTCCACAATCTTAGTCATAATCCAGTCATTCTGTAGTCGCCTATTAAGCCACAATTTGGAATTTAAATGCTTACACAACTCAGAAATTTAAATTTAAGTGAGTCCCCTATTTGTGACTATTTCTAGCTTTATTTGACTCGACACTCAAAATTATTTTGGTTTTTCTTCCTCCAACGATGATGCTCTATTTGACAGAGAATGCATATCTAATCTTTTTTCTTACGCATCTGCTAATTCTTTGCAGGTTCAGAGCCCAAGTAGAAAAGGAAACTGCTGATTTTAAAAGCTTTTTTGGTAAACGTAATTGTCAAAGAAAAACTGGGAGGTAGGGTAAGTATTTCCTTGGCTTGTTCAAAAGTAATTTCTGAACACGTTATCAGGTGTAGCTTTACCATTTTACTGCACCTTCTGCAAAGCTCCCTTATTATATCAGTACATCAAGGCTGCACAGCTGGAAAGCTCCAGAGATGACACCAAGGGCCCATAGAAAACATTTACTAGAACAAGAATTAAAAGTAATTTTGACGTTACAATTTTTTTACCACTGTTAATTCGGTAGACTCGGCTATTCTGTGTCAAATATGTGTTATGAAGAAAACTATATATCACACAGGAAACAATTACCATTTCCATTCAAATGTTAATTATATTTACTACCAGAGCTAAGTCAAGCAACGCAAATCAATTACTAAATCTGACGTTAATTCTTTAAACATGCTGCGTGCTACATGAGAAAACATGGTTTTTAATTTTTAAAATGAAATGCACGTACCTACACTGCCCCCTTACGGTCAGCTGGGACAAAAACATTTCCTGGCAATTTATTTTTAAGCAGTCTGTGGCTGTTTAAACAGTGTTTCCTGCAACTCAGAATGCATTTCATGTAAGATAACTGAGATATTAAAAAGTCTCCTAAATAGATTATATAACCGCTAATGTACTATTCACATGGAATAAAAATAATTAAAACAAAAAAATAAAAATGAGTTATTACCCAACTCTACTGTTATCTTGAACATTGCTGGTGAAGGAAAAAGTTTCAACAGGGGTGGTTGTAAAAGTAGATATGAAGATCTGTGCAAAACGAGAAGGGACATGTTTTGTTATTTGAGGATGATATCTACATCTCTAAAGTTTCTCGGCTTCTCTTTAAAGCCCATGGTTTGCATTTTCCTCCAAAGGGTGTCATTCATGTAATCCACTAGCCTTAATGAGGGCTATTTGGGCCAAAAATGGAACAAAATGAGAGAGAAAAAGGCAGAGAGATAAATTTGCCTAAATCATCCAGAAAGAGTTGGATGAAAAGGACACAGAATGAATTAAGGCAGGGCGGGGGGCGGGGGGCACCAGGTGATCATGTGTAGCAAACTGTCCCTTAATTTTATGGTACAGAAATGTCTGCAGAATTAAGAACAGTAAAAGGCAGGACAAAGGGAGTACACAGTTTATAAGGCAAAGAAAAGACAGAAGAAATGGGATCAGCCAACTCCTTGCACCAGAGACTTCCATGAGCATAGGAAGCTTGGAATAAGGTCAATAGGGAGAGAGAGCCCTCGACAGGGTGAGGAATGGAGACAGTGTGTACTGAGCTGGTTAGGAACACTCTGTCAAGCACTGGGAATATGAGAAGGACCCAACTGCAAAGTAAGTGTAATGGCTTAAGTTTGAGTTTACTCCTTGAATTTCCCCTATGAAAGCTTGGAAATTTATTTTTCTTTCCTATATATTTTAGGGCTCACATCCTTTGTTTACTGTCTCTCGGGCATCACTGTGTTTTATTGCCTGATGCCTGGTATCTTGAAAACCATTGTTTCATGCATTTTGGGGTTTATTTTTTTCCTTGAGTTGTTTCGTGTGGGAGGCTAAATCGCATTTCTCTATCTTGGCTGAAAGTGGAAGTTTGAGGGACTTGAATTTGAGGAGAAAGAGAATATAGAGAAGCTGAAGAGGAGGAGAGGAGGAGATCTACAGCACAGATGGAACATATAACCTTCTATAGGACAAGGAACATGAGTATATTGTGAGTATTCTTGTTATTTTATTAAGTATATAGGAGGAGCCATGTTCCTTCCTCTGACCTAAGAGGGAAAGAAGGCTGTTATGATGGTTGGCAATGCAGGTACATTTGCTGCCAGAGAGTAGGACATTCGGGGATTTTCTGGCTGTGAATGAGATGGAAGATAGAAGGAGGGTGGAGCCCTGGAGGTTTGTGTACAGGGGTTTGAACTAATGATTTTCTAGATGGAGTTTGAAATAACGGATGTCTAGATGGAGTAGGATGGCAGAAAGACAATAAATTTCAAGATTTTAAGTGTGCATGGCACTCACCTGCATTGGTTTTGTGAGTGTGTATGCTAATTTTGTCATATTCAACAGACTAAGTATAATAGAGAAAAAAAGATAGTTGTGTAGGTCTTGGGTAGAGGAGGAGGAAGGTAAAGGGAGAGAGACTTGAGAGGGTAGGCTACAGTCCCGCAACAGTAATGTTATGACAGTCTGGGAGGAATGTTAGAAAATTCCCCTTTTATTCTACTTTAGTTCTCGGAAACTTCTGTACTTAATGCCAGTTAAAAGCTCTAATGATCTGAACAAACCAACTCTTCTCTACTGAGTGGAGAAGGGAGGCATCAATGTTAGATAAACAGTTCTGATACTGTTGCTGGCAGAATTCGGTTACTTGTGGTTGTAAGACTGAGTTTCCCATTTCCTTGTTGGTTATAAGCAGGAGATGCCCTCTACCTCCTAGAAGTTGCCTATATTCCTAGCCAGGTGGCCCCCTTCATCTTTAAAACCAGCAATGAAGAATCTCCCTCACGTGGAATCCTTCTTACACTTTCAATCTCTTTCTTCAGAAAGAACATGGCCCCTGTTAAGGGCTTATCTGATATAAGGTCAGGTCTACCTAGGATAATATCAATCTCTTAAAGTCAATTTTGAAATATAACATAATCAAATCACAGGAATGATATACCATCATATTTACATGTCCTTCCCATACTTACGAGGCAGGAGATTATGTAAGAGCACAGATCACTGTTAGTCATTTTAGTATTCATCCTACCGTAGCTACAAAGATACACACAAATATAAAACTTCATTGTTCTTATCTATACTGTTGCTATTAGATCGAGTCTTATCCCAAACTCTCAGTAAGTTCCCCCAAAAAATACAAGCTCAAGTTGTTGATGAGGTCAGAATCTGTCAAGGTCCCTGAGCCACTTAGCTGTGATAACCTGCGGACCACATTACAGGTACTAATGAAAATTCCGCAGTAATCCTAGCAATGGGAAAACCTGACATAAACCAGATGCTTGCCCAGAATAAGGCAGTCAACTCGAGTTAAAAACTGTTTTTCCTTGCTTTTGTCTGGAATTATACCCACAAGTAGCAGTAGCACTGGCAATCTCAAGCAATCTAAATATGAATCTTAACCATAATTTTACCTTGTAAGAATATTAGCTAATACATATATAATTTCATATTTATTAGCTAATACATAAATACAATTTCAAAGGGAAGAAGCTTCAAAATATAGGATTCGTAAGAGAAATAAAAGTAGAAATACTATAAACCCCTTCTAATGCTAAGCCAAAGAAAATACAAGACAAGCCTCGAGTATCTTGTGGTGCCAGGAAGTAAGGCAGTGCTGAAAACAAACGGATGACAGCACACGGGATGACAAAGAGGCCAGACTGAAAGTGTTCCCAACTGCCAAAATGGGAATGATTTGAGAAAAAGAAAAGAATGATTGAATTGGATTATAACCCAAAGAATGAAATAATCATGAGTCTACACTGATATAAATACTCAAAGTGAAGAAGCGACAACTCTTCTTTGCAGAAGAATTCCAACTAATAAATGTTGAAAGAATGAGAGACATAAAAAGTCACCATTAGAATGCCTCAGAAATCACTGCTACAGGCAAGATCTGATGAACCTTGATGAATGCTAAAATTGGTTGATGAAAGGCTTTTGTTTGTTTGTTTTGGGTTTTTGTTTTGTTTTTTTTTTTTTTTTTTTGCAGTAATTGGTAACAAGGTTGGTGAAAGTTTAAGCAGAAACAGAATGTTTGCCTAGAATGAAGTTGAAAAGGAAAGAAAAAGATGAGTCCTTTATTTAGGGTCTTTGAGTGCCCCCTGCTGGTCACTAGCATGAAATTCAATGAAGTTGTGCCAAGCTGGGTTCCTTCCATATTCCAGAAAGCAATTGCCCTCCTCTTTTCTTTCCAATCATATACTGTCACAAGATGGTTTTCCTATTCAAAACCAGGATTTTCTGCTCCTACTAATTCAAAATTATTTTTTTCCTCTAAAAATATATCAAAAAGAAATCTATCTTCCCTCTAACCAGAAGAGTAAATCATACGCCCATGGCCACTTCCTGGCTGATCCTCAAGACTTGTCAGGTACAGGTAAACTTTCCAAAGTTCCTCCCACTAACCATCCCTGGTTCACCTAGGACATCACAATAAGGGCAAGCCAGTCGAGTCTGTGAGAAAGAAGGACGGATCCAGTAGTGGGAGACAGGGCCATGGAGAGGGTGTTTAGAGCAGACACCATGTCTACGGACATCTTGACCTCAGGGTTGAGGCCCAAACAGATAAAAGATAAATATTTCCACTACTGATGCCTCACATACATATCCTCTAAAATTAGTAATTCATTTGGTTCAAGTAAATCAAATACAGCTCTTCGTTAGGAAAAGACTGGGAATTCTTGTGGCATACGATAGTAGAGACAAGAGATATAAACTGGCAGTGCCCTGGCTGCATATGGGCCAAGCAAATTTTATTTAGCCCATACAGTATTTTTAAAGTCTTGAATTGGATGTCGATGTTCTAAAATCTGGAGATAACACATTTAAAAATTCGAAGTTCTAGTTTCTCTTGGAAAAAACAAATCTACGGATCTGGCCACATGGGGTTTGTTTCTTCATGGTAACAAAGCAGCAGGAACTGAAAAGACACTGCCCCTTGAGACAGTCTTTGCTCTTCAGTTCCTTCCCTGGCACCCACACAAGGCATGTGACTAATATCCACTCTGCTCTATCCACATGCATTAAATGTCGAGCCCCTGCAGCAAAAGGGTTTGCAACATCTGCAGAGTAGAGTACTATGAGTTAACACACTTCTAAAAGCTAAAAGGACCTCGCCTGCCATCTGCTTAAGCCTCACTAGTAACGTTCATCCCTTCCTTCTAAAAATCACAATAGCTAATTACATCTATTCTGCAAAAATATAACATAAACATTTACTCCTCTGAATTTGTTCTTCTACTATTAATATTGTACACCAATAAATCAGCATCACCTGAAAAGTTTGTTAAAACATAAACTGCTGGGCCCCACCTGCCAGGGTTTCCGCTTCAGTAGCTGAAATGGGACCTGAGAATTTGCATTTCTATCAGGTCTCCTGGTAATGCTGATGCCACTGATCCACAGATCACACTTTGAGAACAGCTGCTATTCTCCAACCCAATTTTTTTTTATTTTAAACATTTCCATGATAATTTTACCTATATTTCTCAAGTATCTCTAGAGCAGCAATAACCAATCAACTTTTTGTTGGTATAAATGCTGTCTACATATAGCTACTGGGCATGTGTGATTAAATAACTAGATTTTGAATTTTATTTAATCTTAATTTAAATTTGAATCACTACATGTGACTAGTTGCTATCATATTGGACAACACTGTTAAAAAGACTCTTGAAGAGCCAAACAGAAGAGGGCTAGCAAGAAAAGAAAACTTTTACATGAGCATAAATAGCAAAATGGCCGGGCACGTCTGCTATCCCAGCACGTTGGGAGGCCAAGGTGGGAGGACTGCTTGAGCTCAGGAGTTCGACCATCCTGGGCAACATGGCAAAAATCTGTCTCTGCAAAAAAAAAAAAAAAAAACACAAAAATTAGCCAGGTGTGCTACTTGGGAGGCTGACTGAGGTGGAAGCATCACTTGAGCCCAGGAGGTCAAGGCTACAGTGAGTCAAGACTGTGCCACTGCACTCCAGCTTAGGTAACAGAGCAAATAAAATAAAATAACAATAAATAGCAAAACTCAGAATTATGCACAGAAGATTTGACTTTTTTTAATCAAACAGTAATTTTAATATTTTCAATTGTCCCCAGAAGTAACTATGGCATGTAAGTTTTTACAACATAAATGAAACAACAGAGCCTCAACTGCTTAGTAAGAAAAACAATAAATCATCAGTTCATTTTTTTTTTTTTTTACCTTTTATTCTCCTGGGAATCACAGTTACCCAATCAGGTCCACTGGAGTTGATTGGCATTTTGATATTGACACCACTTTAAGAGGAATAAAAAAGTACAAGCTTAGGTTCTGGAACATTTATTTTCAGATATATGTCTTTATTTGCAAATGATAAAATGACTGATTTTATGGAGCCTTATTATGATGAAATATACTTATTTTAACCAACACAAATAATAAACTGGGTCTCTTATAAGAAGCAGGTTATATGTACATATAAACTGAAAAGAAATTATATTGATTCTTAAATTTCACTGCACTCTATACTGCTAAGAGTGCAAACTCCAAAATGACCAATTCTGGTCTGAATTACGTACTCCCTTTGGACTCAGAGAGTGGCTCACACTGACAAGAATGTCTATTTTGTCATTACCTAGTTTTCAGGCTGTAACTACAGTCTGCATTAAGTCATGAGTCAGATTCCTTAGGCCTTTTCCAGATCTGAGAGGAGCCCTGCTGGGGACACTTGCCCCCCAGATATGTACTCGTGCAGTACTCTGTTCATCGTTACAGGACTCTTTAGTGTCGGTTCTCCTTACTAAAACATACACTACTCTAGGGAGGCGGGTGGGGAATAAAATAAAATAAAACACACACTAATCAAAGACAAGGAGGGTGCCCCATTCATCTTTGTATCTTAGCACAGGCCTTGGTCTAGAGCCCATACTCAGTCAATATTTTTGGAGGGGCTGCATTAAAATGTGGGGGAGGCTGAAGGAAAGGATAAAAGCACTGAAAATCCAAGGTAACTATTCCAGAAACTGAGTCACAGTAAAACTAGGCCTCTTGTACTCAGACAAAAATAAATAAATAAATAAAATGTTAACTTTCCAAACTCTTAATATGGGAATGTGAAGTCATTTTTTATTATTTCATCAATTTCAGAAAAACTGTTTATTCAATAAATAAGCAAAATAATTCTTAAGCTTCTTAAGCCAGGTACTGTCCTAGACTCACGGGCTAATACAGTAAGGAAAATACACAGCATTTCCTTCTTCATGAAGCTTACATAGAGGGGACAGACAAAAAACAAGGAACGAAGGAAATATACAGGCCTGGCTACATTAGAGAATAATCTAATTTCATAGATTAAATAAAGTGATTTTTTTAAGAGAGCACATATAAACTACTTCATGAGCTTAGAGTTTTATGGTAAAGAAAAAAGAAATATAATTTACTTCTCTACAGTTATAACCATTATTTATTGTATAATAATCTTGCACAAACATAATTTCCATTTTTGCAGGAAAATTTCTTCTATAATTTTCCTGCAAAAATATTTAGCCTCAATCTAATCACATGGAAAGTAGAAACAATAAAGCAAATCCAAAGTAGACCGAGCATGGTGGCTCACACCTGTAATCCCAACACTTTGAAAGACCGAGATGGGCGGATCTCCTTGAGGCCAGGAGTTTGAGACCAGCCTGACCAACATGGCAAAACCCCATCTCTACTAAAAGTACAAAAATTAGTCAGGTGTGGTGGTGCATGCCTAGTAGTCCCAGCTACTCGAAAGGGTGAGACCCAAGAATCACTTGACCCCAGGAGGGAAGGTTACAGTGAGCCAAGATTATTGTATTGCACTCCAGCCTGGGTGACAGAGCGACACTCTGTCTCAAAAAAAAAAAAAAAAAAGGAAAGGACATTCTACAAAACAGCAACATCAAAATTGCCCATGCCATACAAAACAAAGTAAGCTAAAGAAAAAGAACTCTTTTGGATTAAAGAGATAACCAAACACTGTGTAATCATAGATTAGATTAGTTAAAATTAAAAAGACAGCTATAAGAGTCATTATTGGGACAAGTGAAGAAACTTGAATATCTAATATGAACTGCATATTAGATGATAGATAGTACTGTAATGACGGTCAATGTCCCCAATGTGAGCATTATGGTATATGTTAGAGAAAGTCCATTTTCTTAGCAGAGGCACAGTTATGGAGTGCAGTGCCATGATATCTGCAACAGATTCTCAAATGGGTCGGGGGAAAATTATACACAGATACATATAAACACAGAGAGACATAGAACAAAATGCGGCAAAACATTAATAATAGTGAATCTAAGAGTTCACTATTATTCCTGCAATGTTTCTAAAGATTCCATTTTTTTAATGTAAAGTTAAAAAGAAAAAAGTAGCACTCATGCTAAAATAAAGGGAAATGTTTTAGGTGATGATAAGCCCATTCTTTTAAAAGGTCTTCCCTTATATTAATTGGATCTTTAAGGAAAGACCTGTTGTCCTTTCCAAAAGTAACATTTTTATTCCCTTATAAGAACAAAGATGACATCCTTTAATTGTTCAACTGTCATTTACGGAACCAAATACCAAGGCTAAGCTTCTTAATTCTTTCTGATTTAAGTAAGGTTATAAGTCACCAAGGAAGAGAAGGGAAAAAGGTTATCAGCTCAACATATTTGGGCCATAAGTTCACAACAATAAACCCAAAAATTACCAAAAAAAAAAAAATCAATACCAGTATTTTTCTTTATCTTTTCAGACAGCCTTATATAGTATTTCAGAACTTTAACAGAATAAAGGACAGAAAAATGAAAATCAATTATCAGGACTCTGTCAAATGTTTGCTTTCCAAAAACTTATGCCACCTCAAACATTATTTTCTCAGCAAACTTCCAGGTAAGTAGAATTCTGCAATTATTCTACAACAACGTACCATCAACCGGCCTCACCCAGGGCATGCAAGTAAGGGCAGGGACAAACACATGATTTTATCCTTGTCGGTTCATGGGTGTTTTTTGTTTTGAATAGTAGAATTTACAGTCAGAAATACTTTTAAGTTTTACACTAATTTAGTTCTCTAACCTTTCTCTATTTTCCACATGGAATTTGAGTAAATTACTGTGCTTCTCCCTCTTTGCTAGGCCACTATGTAGACTGACAACATAACTCTATAGGGCAATTATAGCTAACAATCATTTACTATATGTTTTTAAACAACTATGACAGTGGAACTGGAATGTTCCTAACACAAAGAAATGATAAATTCTTGAGGTAATGGATACTCCAATTGCCTCGATTTGATCGTTACATATTAAATGCTTGTATCAAAATATCACATTTACCTCAAAAATATATGTAAGTATTGTACTTAGGGTTCTGGGAAAAAACGAAAAAAAGAATATATATATATATATATATATATATATGCAAGTAGTATGTATCCACAATTTAAAAATCTAAAAACACAATTCTAACGGGACATGGTAATCCCAGCCCTTTGGGAGGCCAAGGCAGGGGGACTACGTGAGCCCAGGGGTTTAGGCCATCCCAGAAAACATAATGAAACCACATTTCTACAAAACATACAAAAATTAGCTGGGTGTGGTGGTGCAAACCTGTAGTCCAAGCTATTCGGGAGGCTGAGGTGGGAGAATCGCTTGAACCCAGGAGGTCAAGGCTGCAGTGAGCCATAATCATGCTACTGCACTCCAGCCTGGATGACAAAGCAAGACCCTGTTGCAAAACCAACAAATCCTCTACAATAGGGCACCTGAGTAGTCTTCACACATAGGCAAAAAAGTACAGAGAAATAAAATAATCTGCTCAGTCACTGCTAAACAGCATGTCTGAAACATGAATCCAGGAATAAAATGAAAAATTGTTTTCATTTTGAAATTTAATTTTGTTTTCATTTTGTACTGAGCCATGGAAAACACTAGTCTTCTCAGCAGTAAACCCAGTACATTGAGTAGTACTCCCTCTGCTGGCCTTCTAAAAGTATGGGATGAATCTACTATACATGTATGTAACCTGGTATGACCAAAAGCTGACTACGGGGTGGAAAGCTGAAGGGTTTTATTTTAGGAGCGCCTACAAACCACATACTTTATAATAGCAACTCTTCTCCCATCCAGTAATGAGTGGACATAAACTATGAAAATTTTTAGGTTGCCCAGATGTACTTAACAAAAATACCTCCCTTTTATGCAACAAAAAAATCCTCTCTACCAAGGAATGTTTAAAAACAATATATTTCATTAAAAAGTAAAAAACATGTATACATTATTTCAAACAATGGTACTTTTTAGGTTGAGACAGTGTCTCACTCTGTTGCCGAGGCTGTAGTGCAATTGTGATCATACTCACTGCAACCTCAAACTCCTGGGTTCCAGCCTTCCTCCCACCTCAGCCTCCCAAAGTGCTAAGAGTCATGAGCCACCACACCTGGCCAAAACGGTACTTTGTAACCAAGTAGCTTTTACAATTTTTTATTTCTTAGTGATGTTACAGAATATTGAAGAAAACACAAATTTCAATTCATACTGGTTTAATATTCCTTTCTGAACATTATTCCATATATTTATCATCATGCTCAGAATATGTTTATACTTGAAACAGAAATTTGAACACATTACTGCAATAATTTTAACAACTATTTAGCTTAAAAAATATAATTTTCTGTGGCATTCCCAGCTTCCTATGCTTATTATTAATAATTCCACCCAGCAATGTTGCCATATTCATAGTTTTTTAATCAATATGTTCAAATGATTTTAAACACTGATACTATATCACTTTTAAAAGTTTCAGTTCATTAGATACAAATATAAAATACCAGCCTGACTACTAGCCCTACCAGCCCTGTTCTTGGATTATTTTTTTTCTTTGCATAAAATAGATGGGGCCTTGCTATGTTGCCCAGGCTGGTCTCAAACTCCTGGGCTCAAGCGATCCTCCCATCTCAGCCTCCTAAAGTGCTGGGATTATAAGCATGAGTCACCACACCTGGCCCTTGGATCATTTTTTATCTGTTCTGTGAATAAGGAATTTTACTTACACAGCTACTGTGTAAACATGCTATGTAGTTTAAAAGTAAAACACAGATACGAGGGTAAAGAAGAAAAATTCAAGGGTAAAAGGTCTTTAATTTGGACTTGGATAAGCACTAAGGTTCACTTTTAAAACACTAAGGAAAAATAAAAATATATGGTTTTCTTTTTTTAATTCAATATATCTTCTGAATCGGGTCAAGTTGAAAGAGAAATAAGAAACACATACCCAATACCACAGAGTCTCCTAAATGGGACAAGGACAGTGGAAAAGAACTCTTCAAATGATCCCCAAGAAAAAGCAGCACATACCTCTGGAAGAATGCACTCTCTGCAGCAGTTAGGAGACCCTTCAGGTATCCACCTTTGAAATGGGTAATTCTGCTACTGCAAGGGAGCTTCTTTGGTTTGAAGCAGAACCAGGGCTCCCCAGTGTAGAGGTCTGTAAAGTTACACAGGGGCAGATTCCCAGGAAGACACACGTTGCACTCAGTAGTTTCAGAAATTCTTCCTGAACGGAAGAGACTCTTGAAATAGACCCTGTCTGGTTTATCTTCCTGTAAGTGCTGAAGAACTCTGATCCCTTCACTGGGGTGGACCAGAGATACAGACACTTTAACTTTGCCCGGCCATAGCAAAGTAAAGAAAACCTTGTAAAACCCATTCTGGTAGTCCACCACCCTGCCCACAGCCCCGGCCTGCAGCTTGGGGGAGTGAATTCTGGCCTGCAGGTAGTCTCCACCATACTTCTTGGGCTTTCTTTGAAAATCCTGTACATGAACCAGTACCTCCAGCTGGCTTCCCACCTTAAAGAAGGCAGCAGAGTTCAAGATAACAAAATAGCTGGAAGAAGGGTCAGTGCTCTTCACAAAGGGGACTGGGCCCACATCTGGAACCTGCCCGTGCAAGGCAGCCAGCAAGGAGTCCTCCTCCATGCGCTCCTGGCTGGACAGGATCTGCTGATCATAGCCACAGTAGGGATTCCGGCTAATTCTTGTCACCTGGGAGGAAACAAACTGCCCACTGCTGTCGATGAATGTGGCTGAAACAGTCTCATGGTCCAAGTACTGAAGAAGAAGACACAAACAACAGAAATTACCACTATATAAGTCTCTGTATTTTTGGCATAAATTCACAGAGGGCTCCCCATATTTCTGTGAGTTTTAGCTCCAGGAGCTCAATCAGATTCTCACAGTAAATATCAACGAAAAATCCACTTGGGCTTCTGGCAAGGGAAAGGGAATAGGACCCATTTTGAAGTATGCAGAGCACTGTGTTGTTCTTAACAAAGCGGCTGCTGAAGAGAAACTGCTTTATCAGAACCTAGCCCACTGGAGCTTTATCAGAGCTTAACCAAACTGAGAGAAGGGAAAAGAACCTAACTCCAGCCCTTTCTAGCCACCCAGTCCAATCTAAGAGGGGGAAACACCAATAAAAAAGTAAAGGGTTGGAGAAAGATATACCATGCTAACACTAATCCAAAGAAAGCAGTAGTAGCTATATTAATTTCAGACAGAGCAGATTTCAAAGCAAGGGAAGTTATCAAAGAGGGTTATCACATAATAATAAAGGAGTCAATTCTCCAAAACAAATAACAACCCTTAACATATATGTACCTAACCAATGAGTATCAAAATATGTGAGGCACAAACTAACAGAGAAATAGATGAATCTACATTATAGTCTGAGACTTCAAACTCCTCTACCACAAATAGACAGATCCAGTAGGCAGAAAATCGGTAAGGACATGGTTGAATTCAACAGCACCATCAATAAACTGGATACAGCTGACATCTGAGAACTACCTCTTATCAAGTTCACATGGAACATTAACCAAAACAGTCCACATTCTGGACCATAAAATACACCTTAACAAATTTTTAATAATAAAAATCATACAGTACCTTCTCTTAAGCCATAATGAAATTAAACTAGAAATCAATAATAGAAAGATAGCTGGAAGAATCCCAAAATAGTATACAAATGGACAACATACAAAATCTCATGAGAAATTTAAAAATATTTTTAATTAGGTGAAGGTGAAAATATAATTTATTAAACACTATAGGATAAAGCAAGAAAAGTGTTTAGAGGGAAATTCATAGTACTACACATATTTTAGGAAAGAAAAATGACCTAAAATTAATAATTTAAGCTTACATCTCAGGAAATTAGAAAAAGAAGAGCAAACAATATCCAAAAATAAGCAGAAGAAAAATTAAAAATATGATAGCAGAAATCAATGCAGTTGAAAACAGGAAATCAATAAAGAAAAATAAATTAATCCCAAAGCTGTTTTTTTTAAAGATCAATAAAATTGATAAGCCTCTACCAGGCTTAAAAAAAAAGAGAGAGAAAGGATACAAATTTCTAATATCAGAAATGAGAGAGCAGCCATCACTACAGATCCCATGGACATTAAAGGGATAAAGGAATATTATTAACAACTCTATGTCCACAAATTTGATAATCCAGATGAAATGGACTAATTCCTTGAAGGCCACATTCCATAAAGAATGCACCTAATGATGCAAAAGTAATATTATAACTAGTGGAAAACAAATATAAAAGAACAAAGGCATGCTTTCTTCATCACTTACAGTAGGAAGTTATGTTATCTCATGCTGTTGGGGAAATAAAAGGTCTAAATACATTATTTTATGTTATATATATAAATAAAATTAATTTTACAAATTGTGGAAAAAGAATGAAGTAAGCAGAGATCTTATCTTTCATTATGTTAACAGTAGTAGGTCAGGTGTAGTGGCTCATGCTTGTAATTCTAACACTTTGGAAGGCTGAGGCAGAAGGACTGCTTGAGGCCAGGAGTTCAAGACCAGCCTGGGCAATATAGCAAGAACTCAGCTCTACAAGAAATCTTTAAAAAGTTAGCCAAGCATGGTGGCACATGCTTGTAGTCCTAGCTACATCATAGGCTGAGCTGGGAGTACTACTGAACCCAGGAACTCCAGATTATAGTGAGCTATGATCCCACCACTCAACTCCAGCGTGGGCAACAGAGCAAGACCTTGTCTCTAACAAATAAATAAATATAAATTAAAACTAGGCTAGGTACCGTGGTACATGCCAGCACTTTGGGAGGCAGAGGTGGGTGAATCAGGATTGCTTGAGCTCAAGAGTTTGAGACCTGCCTGGGCAACATAGTGAAACCCCGTCTCTACTAAAAGTACAAAAAATTAGCTGGGTGTGGTGGTGCATGCCTGTAATCTCAGCTACTCAGAAGACTGAGGCACAAGAATTGCTTCAACCCAGGAGGCAGAGGTTGCAGTGCACTGAGATCATGCCACTGAACTCCAGCCTGGGCAACAGAATAAGACTCTGTCTCAAAAACTTAAAAAAAGGAAAATAATAATTATTTTATATATATATATACACACACACACACATTTATTTATTTATTTATTTTAATATATATATGAGGACTGCTTGAACCCAAGAGTTCGAGGTTACAGGGAGCAATGACAACAGCCTAGGCAACAGAGTAAGACTCTGTGCTTAAAAAAAAGAAAAAGAAAAATTCGGTAAGCAGAAACAGCCAATATTTACTGTGAGCCCTTATGTTATGGATACTCTTGGAAAGAGTAACCATGAATCTTTAAATTCAATGTTCAAATTATCACATGTGATAAGTCCTGTTATTATATCCATTTTATAGACAAGGAAACTGAGACAACAAATAGCTAACAATTTGCTCAAGGCCATCCAGATTAGAAGCAGCAAAGGATTAGAAGCCAAGCTGTCTGAAGTGAGGCCTGTTTTCTTAACCACCCAGGCTACACTACCTCATGTGAACAAGTTGGGACATACCTCATAAAGTTTACAAATCAAGATACAAGTACGTAATGTATAATTAGCGCTAACTACCCAAATAATTAAAAATAAGCAATTACATTCACTCAGAGTAAAGAATGGGGAGGGATCCAATTGTGTGCTTAATACCATTCTCTATTCTTTGAAATGTCTATATATTCCATGAGTTATTTTATTAGTAAACAGGACAGAGGAACAAACGAGCAGGAAAAAAGTTACAGACCTAACCTGAGGCCTATAACTAATCTACCTAAAATGTAGAAAACTATATCTTACATTATGCAATTAAACTGCAGGGAACAAACAACAGCAAAGCAAAACCAAATCTCTCTCTCAATAGCAATAGCACTTCCCTGTTTCTAGCAAAACACTTAGCAAGGCCTCAGGCTCCCCACCTATGACAAACCTCTTCAAAATCCTACATAAGGTAAAAATAATCTCAAAATACAATAATGTTTAATTCTCTTCTTAGATTCTGTATTTTTCCCCTCCCATTTTCTACTAATATATACACATTTTCATTTTAAAGGATCTCATTTAGGAGCCTTCATTTTAAAGCGGTACATGGTAGTATTTGTTCATTTAAAAAGTGGCATGGGGAAAACAAAACTGACTGAAAAATTCTCTTTATTACCTTACTGATTACCTTTCAGGAAATGTTCCAGCCACCCTCTCCTGTTTAGCTGCTGTAAGTCTGTGACACACCATTAAGGACCAAATCATGCACCATGTACTCACAGCATACCTCCTCTTCCTAATTCCTCTCTCACTCTCACTCTTGTTCCCTGGGTAGCCACACCAATTCTCCAAGGCCGACTGACTGACACATGCAACCCAATCCAGAAATCACCAAACATTGGGTGGTAATTCCCCTGCATTTTACTTGAAAATGAAAAAAATGTGAAAATGTCAATTTGCTTAATTTTCCTAAAGATAGGGGCAACTTCACACCTGCGATCTTTTTAGGTTTAGGGCTACGAGGAAACAGCAAACAAGTGGCTCACTCCTCAAGCCGTCATAACCTATGGGCTGAAGTGAACATGGCGACTGCCTGTCCCACAACCATTTCACTCCTGGCCTACTGAACCACAGCAATGCTGTTAGCTGACCTGTCAGCTCAAGGGTGGGCCTAACTGATGGAGGGGTAGTCTCAGGTAAAAGGCTGGTTCAGAATGGGCATGTGACCCAATTCTGGACTATGAGAATCAGAAGAGGTTGCTGGAGGCTTATGCTTACATGCAGCCAAATCCAGGGACCGCTAATCCCCCTGGTAACAGCTATTTGAATTTAACTTGCAAATGAAAAAACACAATTAATATCTTTTTTTTTTTTTTTTTTTTGAGATGGGAGTCTTGCTCTGTCGCCCAGGCTGGAGTGCAGTGACACAATCTCAGCTCACTGCAACCTTCTCCTCTCAGGTTCAAGCAATTCTCCTGCCTCAGGCTCCCGAGTAGCTGGAATTACAGGTGCATGTCACCACATCCAGCTAATTTTTTGTAGATGGGGTTTTGCCACATTGGCCAGGCTGGTCTCAAACTCCTGACCTCAGGTGATCTGCCTGCCTCAGCCTTTCAAAGTGCTGGGATTACAGGCATGAGCCACAGCAAGTAGTATCTTGAGATGGTTTCAAGAGAACAACTATTTCTTCAGGTGGACATGTACAAGAAAACAACCACCCTATTGCTCTGGCAGCCATCCTACAATCAACCATGAAGGAGGATGCCATAGATAAAAGATAACACAAAAGAAGGCACAGTTAAGAGGCTTACAGACAAACAAAGGCTGGTTCCCAAAAGAATTATGCCCAACCTATCTACTGACTTCTATTCAAATGAGTAATACATATTATCATTAGCTTGAATCAGGTGTCTTTTACTTGAAGCCCAAAGCCCCAATACACAGGTGTTATAATACATATCTAAAATATCAATGAATAAGGCAAAAGAAAAAAATACAGGCCTTGCTCAATGAGAGCTCATCAGAGAAGTAAAAGACTGCAATTCTCCCTCCAATCTTTTGCTAGATATTGATACAAATACCTCTTTCTCATATTATGGGTTTGTTTGTTTTTTAAGATGGAGTCTCACTTTGTCGCCCAGGCTGAAGTGCAATGGTGCAATCTCAGCTCAGTGCAACTTCCACCACCTAGGTTCAAGGGATTCCCATGTCTCAGTCTCCCAAGTAGCTGGGATTACAGGCATCACTACTATGCCCGGCTAATTTTTGTACTTTTAAT